CCCAGGCGGCGCGCTCCCGGGACACCCGCCCCGCGACCCCGGGGCCGGGCAGCGAGACCCGTGCCCAGCGACAGGGGCCAGAGACCAGAGCCCTCGAGGCTGGAGTTGGAACGGCTTTGGGGTCCGCGCGGAGTGCAGGCCCGTGTGTCCGGGTTGGGAGGCTCTTTTGGGGTATGCCAGAGCCCAGCCTGGGCCGAGGGGCAAGGGGAGCTGCGTTTGGGGGACTGCGCCGCGAGCGGAGCTGGGGGCTGTCAATCAGCGGGGCGACGTGTAGGTTCTGGGAAGCGGGCCCCGGAGCCGCGCGCGCACGGGCTTCTCTGTGAGCCCTTTGTCCCCGACCCGCCTAGGAGGCGCCTCCCATTCACCAGACCCCACACCCGAAGGCCTGGAGAGGTTGCCCCGGATTTGTGCGGTGGGGCTGTTTCGGGGACTGGGTGTGGGGCGTCCCCAAAGACTCTTCGAAGCCCTGGCTCTCACCTGCCTGGGCGCGGAGAGCCCGGAAAGGACTCTGCTGTGCGGGAGGCCCCGCGCAATCCTGCCGGGCCATAGGCACAGGGCAGGAGTCGAGCTGCACCTCCCCGGTCCCGGGGGAGCTATGGAGCAGGTCGAGGGGAGGTGGCTTGCAGGCTCGCCTGCCTCCCTTTATTTTGCTTACTCTTTGTTTGGGGCACAGACCCCTTGGACTGGGCGCTTCCCTGTAGGGGAGTTGTGTTTCCTTAAAATGGCGACTGGAAAGCCACCTGCCAATTAGATTGTCTGTACAGTGCAAATGTACAGGGTGGAAACCGAGCATTTTATTGACATGAATGCATCAGTCTCTGTGTTCCATCAAAACAGGAAAGGGAAGGTGAATCATAACTCAAAATTTAATCTACCTGGAGCATTCCAAGCGAGGAGAGTGAGTCTTCACTGTAATGAAGCGGCTGTCGCTTTAAAAGCAAAAATCACTGCAGGAAAGGGACGATGAAGACCAAATTCCAAATCTTCGCTAAGTGACTAAAACCTTAATCCTGTCGAAAGGCAGCACATGGTCTCTCTTAGTTCAACAATGCTCTTGAAACTGAAGTCAAGGCACACTAACTGAGGCAAAAGGATGGTAGCCTACCCACCAGCATTCACATTTAGATGCATGCCAGCTTCCCTCACCTATTTGGCTTCTGTCCAAGTCCTGTTTCTCCAGTAGTAAAAAGGAAGGTTAATTGTACCCATATCATAGTAATATTTTACAGGTCATCAACAAGTTGGTTCTTCTCCCTCACCCTCTTCATCCCCCAAGGTATAAAATATTGGTATGAAATATATGTCAACATAGCATGAACCTGTCTGGCACAAATAAGTCTTATGAATAAAGTTAAGAAATCTTAAGTAGGTAAGCTGTGCATAGAGCCTAAACCTGTTGAAATGCTAACATGGTTAAGCAGAATGTGTATTTACCAGTGTTTCTTTGAAGAGTATCTCATCTCATGTAGCATGGTTACTTCTTGCAGAAGTTCTACCCAGAAAATGACTGCAGTTACCTATAGTTTTTTCAATTGGATTCAACATTGTTGAATTGAGATTTCAGTCATTTAAATATTTTATTTCAGTCATTAAATATTTCAGTCCCAATTAAATATTATCTTATTTAAACCTTGCAAGTATTTTCCTCTTTGCATAAACAAGAAAGCAGTTTCAGACAGCCTGAACTGGCCATGTTCACTTAAGACAGGAAGTGGTGAAGAGAAAATTAAGGGAAGAGATTCCAGTTCTGGATGAACTCAAGAACCTTCATCCCTTATCTAGGTTTTAGTTGACAATCTGGACCTGGACTGTAACATCCTCTTTTGTGAAGGGTCCTGGGGTAGGGTATGTTCTGGAGAGGACTGGGCGCCCTCTGTGCTTCTGGACTACTTAGAGGTGGAATTTCCTATCAGAAGGTCTTTCAGCAGCTCAGTACTTAACCCCAATTGCTGTGTCTCAACTGGGGGCAACAGGTGTTGTGATGCAGCCCCCACACTCACTGTGTGTTTATTGAGAGACAAAAAGCAGGTCATGCAATTTATAAATGCCCTCCATTTCACCCTTGAAACATTTGTGAGAAGGCCTCCCTGATGGCCTAGGGCTTAAATCTCAGCATGTCACCCCTGAGGTCTGAGTTCCATCGCTGGCCAGGGAGCCGTATAGGGCACAGCAGACCTCCCCTATCTCGCCTGCTCCTTCTCCCAGCAGTGGATTTCAGTAGATCTGCCTGTTCTGTGCCCCAGTCTGTCTCTGGTGAGTTCTCTCACCCCTAACACTTCCGGCCTATACCCCAGTTTTACGTATCACGAGGGAGGCCCAATTTTGATACTATTGATCAAAACTCATACACACAAAGTTTGTTTAGTGCCAGGCCAGATTTATTTGGGAGCATGAAAAGCCGCAGAGGAAAGTGTGGGTTTTCCCAGACTTTGTGTGCGTGTTTTTTGATCAGTATTATCAAAATTGGGCCTCCCTGGTGGCGCAGGGGTTAAACTTTCAGTGCTATCAAGCTATCACCAGTCACTGTGGCCTGACATCAATCCCCTGGGAGCTGACCTGCATGGCTCAGCAGACACCTCCTGTCTCGTTCACTTCTCCCCTTAGCAGTGGATGTTAGTGGATCTGACTGTTCTGCTTCCCACTGTGTCTCTGGGGAGTCCTCTCACTCCCTACCACCTCTTGTATGCATAAAAAAATAAAATAAATATAAATAAATAAATCTATATAAAAATAAATAAATAAATATGTGACATGGTCTGTCCTGACCCCCTCAGTAGCACTGCTGATTATTGCCTCAACATCTTGAAAATTCTGACAGGAGAACAGCAACTCCCACTAAGTCTAAACTTAATTAAAATTAAAATTCCATAATGGGTCTCCTTAACATGTCTTTAGTCTCTGATGTTGGCCCAGATCAGCTTCAGAGGATCACTTAATTTTTAATCTCATAGGGTAGCTGACTGTGGTTATATTGTTTCATTTATTCAAGTTAAACTGAGCCAATGATCAGTCCTAGAAATCTGTTGTCTAAATTACCTGATGTTTTGTCCCAACTTCTGTGACGGGCCGCAAGAAAGAAAGACAGGAAATAGAAAGGCTGAACAAGTAAAGTTTTAATGCTCATGGACAGCAGCTAAACAGAACTCCAAAGGAGGGTCTGTAGCTACTGCCAACCCAATAAGGGGAGGAAGGGCCTTTTATATAGATTCTAGGTTCACATTCCAAAGGGGTGACTCATGGCTGTGCCCCTTGATGCTAGGCCCAGTTCCTCCCACCTGTATCTCCCGGATGCTAGGCCCAGTTAATTATCAAACTTATCGCCTTCAGCTAGTCCCATCCCGGATGCAAGGTCAGTTTATTACCACCTTATCAAGCCTGGATACAAGTCTCAATTCTTTACCGCCCTAATTCAGTCCTTGTCAGTAAATCTTTGGTCACTCCCAACACCTGACCCTTATGTGTTACTAGACAGATAAACAGTGAATAAATCTCCTTAGCTTGTTGCCAATGAAATGATGATACCCAACAAATGATCAAATTACACATTGTCTATATGAATCACAATACTTAGTACAGAAAAACATACTCAGGGCCCTCTCTGGTGATGCAGCGGGTTAAAGCACAGCACTGAGAAGCTAAAGCCACTTCAGCATGAGTTCGATCCCCGCCCCGGAGCTGACCCACATGGCGCAGCAGACCTCTTCTGACCCACTCACTGCTCTCCTCAGCAGTGTACTTTGTCAATCAGCCCGTTCTGCTCCCCACTCTGTCTCTGGTGAAGCCTCTCACCACCCCTGCACCTCTGGCCTATACCCCAGTTCTGTATGCATAAATAAATAAATCTTTTTTAAAAAAAGCATACTCAATAAAGAGTACCTCTTATTTTGCATGCTTTGCACAAATAGACATGGGACAATGAGCTTTCGAAGCCCAAATTAATAGGCATGGAGGATTCTATTATGTTTGCCCCATCCTGAGACACCTGTCAAGCCTGAGCCTCTATTCTCATTTTTCCCAATGTGGGAGACAGAATGTCCTAAAGACAGAAGGTCCTAGAACATAATTAGTCCTGCATTTCAACTCCCAATCTTACCTTTAAGGTAAGCTTAGTATCTACAAAAGAATATGTTAAACGTTAGTATTCCAGTATCACTATACCATCTGCACTGACTGATGGAACCAGTGTAAATTGGTACAACATTTTGTGAGAAATTGAATTTAGGGTTAAAAACATGGGTGCTGGGACCAGATGTTCTGCATCCCATCCTGTTCTATTGTGGCTAACTCGACAAGACCTCAAGTGCTCCTATCCACCCTGGCTGATGTGCATGGGTGAGCACACACCCCAATAAGGCCAACAAACAAGCCAGCAGAGCACAGTGCACTCTGTCCTGCAGACAGCTGCAGCTCACTACCTTGTTTTTAGCAGAAACTGCAAGAAGCCCCAGCCCCCTGTACAAACATGTACCCCACCCCTGTGTTGGGTACATTTCCTGCCCCCCCCCTCCAGTACAAGGCATATCAGACCCTATATATACCCATGGATGGTCCTAATAAATAGACTCTGGACTC